GATTTGGACCCAACAAGTAAGAAGGTTGGTTTGCCTGGTGATTTGTACTGACATTGTTTCTCTGCCCTGCAGGCTGAATCTACTAGCACTACAAATGAATCAGTGTTGAAGGTTGCTCTTACCTTAGCCAGAATTTCTATAAGAATGTTGCTCATGTTACATGCCTTCCTTTCTCTAGTAAGTAGAACAAGAATACATTTAATATTTCTTTTATGTCCATATGCGTACGCTCATGATATTTTGAATTATAAACCAAATTCTAAATAAATAAGCATGTGTCTCTGTTGTGGGTAGTGAAGAAGATAATCACTTAATGAGCCTCTAACTAGCTTCCTATTTTCAGGAACGAAGATCAGTTTACTCATTCAAGTTCTGGAATTCTTTATAACTTTTTGAGTTTACTCCGGTCTTGCATGTATTAGCTCTGTTTGTGCCCCTATCTATGTCAGTTTCTTGTGTGCAAAGCGCTCCTTTATGTGTGTGTGACTCTGTGTGGCTTGACTGTGTGTGTGTGTCTTGACTGTGTGTGTGACTGTGTGGCTTGACTGTGTGTGTGACTGTGTGTGGCTTGACTGTGTGCGCGCTTGACTCTGTGTGTGTGATTGTGTGTGAATATTGCATTTGCTTGATGGTGTGGCTTGTATGCTTTGTTGAATGATTGGTTGTATAACTTGTGTTTTATATATGTTGGGGCCTAACACTGCCTTTGCCGGTCCCAAGCCCGGATGTGAAAATGTGGAGGGAGCTGCAGTTACCTTCTTTGTATTGTTTGCATTACGAGTGTCGATAGAAATTACACTGTTTAGGTTACTGTCCTAATCGAATAGTGAACCTTCGCATAATTTGGTAGCATGTTATTTAAGCTTTAAAATGCATCCTTCCTTGCTATAAACTTACTGATTCCTTTCTGAAGTTGTACGAGGTCAGTGTTATGGTACGGGTGTGTTCCTTTCTGAAGTTGTACGAGGTCAGTGTCTGGTTTGATTTGCTCGTCCTCGCCGTCACCCATTTAGAAGCGCTTCTGATATGATTTTGGTCGTCCTCGCTGTCGCCCTTATGCTCTTGCGTGTTCTTGGGGCCGTCTCGTCACCGTCTGGTTTGCGAACTAACAAGTCTGTTTGAGAAACATGTGCGCTTCTGTTATCTGACGATCCTGCGTTTCGTGTTCGCGGTGGAGCGATGATTCCAGCGTTTCTGTTTGAGAAACTTGTGCGTGTGCTTCTGTTATCTGAGGATCCTGCATTTTGTGTTTGCGTCGGGGCGACGGTTGCAGGAAGTTCTGGTTTCGAAATTGAAGCAGTGTCAAATTGGTTCCTCTGTTCCATCACCTGTCTCCCATCCTAGATGCAGAGAATCTTGTTCTTGTCTGTTACGGTTGTTCTGATGGTGTTCTTTTCAATTGGTTTCTTGTTATCATGCTTTGCTTATGTTCCCATATATGGTGATGTGTGTTCAGGGGTGCAAACCATGTAGGCCGTGGGTACCATGATGTGAGGCTTCTCTCCTGCTGATAAATTAGGATGATAGGCTGAGAAGAAAAGTTTGACTCTTGTAACAATCACTTGCTTGGTTTCCACTTCTTTGTGTTGCCGATTTGACATTCAATGCCTATCTTATTTATCATAATCATGTTTTCCCTGTTTGTTTTCATATCCAATGTATCCACTCATCAAAGCACCCTTTTCCCTGTTGTTTTCCCTTCTTTTTCTAATCAATAATCATGTTTATCATGGTGTTCGACAATGCTCCATTTCTATTGTTCTTTGTTCCCTTTTGTAGTTCACTGATTCAAATCTGATGTGGAAGGTAGGAAATATTGATCACTTCTGTGTTAATATACTAGCTATGATATGTTTATATGGCATGATTGATTGTTGTTTGTTTATGGTTGTTAAGATTGATTGATTGATTGATTGCTGTTTGTTGATTGATTGACTACTGTTTGTTGACCGGTATCTAACTTTGGTATTTGTAGACCTAGCACTATTCTTTTTTCTGAACTTTTTTGTGATTATGTCTTATGTGGATATCATATTCTTTTTTTGTATTACTGATGTCCAGTCACTGGAATAACACTTTTCTAAGTATTTAAGGTACAGACATTTGGATCTGGACATATCACATTTGCTCTTTATTGTGTTGCTAAGGACACTGATGGGTTGAGTATAGCGCAGTTATATTTACGTTTACATTTTGCAATGCTGATGTCTGTAGTCCCAAAGCGTTTATTTAGCCAAGTATGGTGTTTGTGCTCAGAATGATGTATATGTAGAATCCAGGGGCGGATGGATGTTTTTATGACGGCTAATTTGATTCGTTATGGTTGTTCGGATGGTGTGCTTCTGGTGGTTGAACTGAAGCCGTGGATCACTCATCATCCTGGTATGTGTTTGGATGATAATCCCTCTTGAATTTAACTCCTTCCTATATTTTACACAATGTTTATCTCACGGCTGATAATGGTAACCTTATAAATGCATATCCCACATTTTAGCTAGTTATATAGTAACACCATACTTCTTTGGACGTTGTTCTGTATATGCAAGTGTAGTGAGCTCACATATTGTGTCGGTATCTACCTGCGCAGCTGAGCTCTTTCCGAATAGGACAGAGGTACAATGTTTGCATCCATGGCAGAAGGTTCTTCTGATTGTTCAAAGGTCGTTGGACTCAAGAGGTTTGTCATTGCACTCCTGACTTTGCTCGAGAAAAAAAAAGCTTTTGCACATTTTATAGTTATATTTATGATATTTTTTCTACAGGAAGACGACAAAATTATTGATCTTGTAAGCAAGTATGAACCAACAAAATGGTCTCATTGCAAGGTCCTCGATGTATAGGCAAGCAATGTTGAGAGAGGTCTTCTGATTGTTCCATTTTTATGGTTTTCTGAATGCATTTCCCCCCTCCGTGCAAGACAAACGTGGGATGTTTGCTAATTTGAAACACACTGGTTACTTCCATTTGTGTAACTTCTATTTGTTCTCAGTTCCTCTCACCTATAGCTAAAGTCAAAGACGACAAACTAGGTGAATTTTGGAGTTGCAAGATACACAAAATCATCGGTAAGTTTCTATCCTTTCAAATGGTTAGGAGTATGAATTTTGATCAGTTTGTTTGCTTGTTTTATACTGAATCCATGATTCCTTGATAACTTTGATATACACACATGAATAATTACTTATGCTGTTATGATCATCACTTAATCAGCCTCTAACTAGCTTCCTATTTTTCAGGAATGAAGATCTGAATCACCCTCACCCCTCTAGAGAAATAAGTTTACTCATTCAGATTCTGGAATTATTTTTATAGCTTTCTGCATTTAGTTTGTTCTTTCATGTATTAGCTTTTTGTTTGTGCCCCAATCTATGTCTATTTCTTTCTGTTTCTTGTGAGCAAGCGCTCCATTGTGTGCGTGTGACTCTGTGCATGTGATGTGCCCCTATTTATCTCTCTTTCTTGTGTGCAAGTGCTCCACTGTGTGTCTGACTGTGTGTGACTCTGTGTATGTCTGACTGTGTGTGAC